AGAGCGGTGTGGGAGAAATCCGTGTTGAACTGAAGATATCAGGAAGTAAGGTGACCTGGGATAGCTCGCTTCAGAATGCGTTCCATCACCTTGCACGGCACGCTAGTGAGGCTTATAGGCCTATAGCTTCCAGGCGATAGTCGGTCACCAGTTTCGTAGATTTGCGTGACAATCGCCTCCTTCCAAATAGAGGGAAGGCGGCCTTCGTCAAGCGACTGACAATATTGCGTTTTGTTGTGCGCGTGCTCAAACCTGAAGCCATTCTAATTTACTTTCATATTTTTGCAGCTCACCAAATTTCACTGCTCACTGGTGCAACCATACTTCTGGCGAAAAAGTCTCGTGAAATAATTTCCCAACCTCCATGAGCACCCGGGATGCCCAGCCGGGGTTCGAAAGTTTGGAGTGGTACTCTGAACTCAATTGTCTTGTTACCTTAGTCCATCAGGTTCACGCCATAGCTTTCGAACATTGAATTCCATTGTGTGAATACTGAGTGCCCTGCATTGAAGGTGAACAGCGCGCCAGTTCATTTAACGCCTCGTCTGTGGCGGGACTTTCGAAGATTTTGGCTGCAGAATGAATTGGAATGCATGAATTGGAATGCCTGTTAGGTAGAGATGGGTGGTCAACCATCGAAGGAACGTGTTAGGCGACTAGCTGTTGCCAAACAGGAAAGCGAAATATTCGGAACCACGCAGAGTAAGTCTCGATTGTCTCTGAACACGCACAATACGTCATTGAGTCTCCTTTTTCCAATTGGCTAATAGTACCAGAACCTGACCCACATTTAACCGGAGATGTCACCAAATGTGTGTTCAGTGAGGTACACCCTTTTTTCGCCTGTGCTAACGCATAACTTCCGCGCAAGCTCATTTGACTGGAATCCGGGACCAATCTGGGCTTGCGAATTGCGACCCCAAGGCAATAAGCCACTTCGCGACGTTCACTAAGTCCGGCGGTTAGCAGAATTTTTGAGAAGTAGTTTCCCAACCTGACGTTAGGCTTTTCAGCCCCGGGTTCGGGTGGCGCATGAGGAGGCCTTTCAGACGGGGATATACGCACAATTGATGCCGAGACCGTCACAGAATAGGGGGCGAAAAGTGGCGTCAACATTCCGTGTGACTTCTGGTGCGCCGCGAATATACTTGCGTCCGCAAAGCTTGAGAGATGTCTGTAGGGCTGGTTGCTTTTTTAATTAGGAACAGTAGACAGGGTCGATGCGCAACCTCTGTAATGTAGCTAAATAGGACTTGACTGAAAAGAGAAGGTTGTAGAGTCCCCTGATTAGTTCTGCAACCGTGCTATGAGATTTCCGTAGAAGTCTGCGAATTCTCGAAGGCTCGCGGGGTATCAGATATCCAACAGGGTGGGTTCAAATTTGAGAGGAGCGAAGGTCGCTCCGGTTACATCGCCCAAATGGTAGGTGTTTGTGCCCGGGCAACTTATAAACTCCCTCCATGCCTTATTGGGACATGAAACAGTCTTGGGGAGACCGTATAACCCTCAAAGGTTTTGACGACGGTAACTCGGAGTTGCGGCAGTTCGTTGATGAAGACAAAGTACAGCATCATAGCTACTGACACCGCAGCATCACTGATCAACACTGATGCTTCGCAACCGTACAACCGAGATTTGTATAAAAGCCCTATTGTAAAGGAAAGATTGAAACTAGGTGGGAATGGGACTTAATGGTAGCCTACCACAATTATTCAGAGTTCCCTGCGCCTGCGGACACCCATTCAAACAATCCCAATTCAATTCAATTTATCGGCTATAGACTGTTTACCATAAGCACATTGGTTCCAGCTGATACAGTTCCGATAACCGGAAAACGCGAAAGTGTAAGACATACAGCTAGCCTTGAGGTGATGACATTTTCGGTTAGTTTGGAAAGTGAGTAGCTACGCATTGAGGGCGATAGCATGAGCGATGCATGAGCACCACTGACTGCGCGATTGCCAGTGTCAATAGCCATTGGTGACTTAAGCCCCAAGGCCCTCATCCGGGGAAGTGGCAGTTGTCCACCCGACTAGTTAGTGTTTTCATACTTCGTTGCCAGTCCATACACTGTCCACCTCGTGGTCGGTCACACTTAGCAAAGGGTTGGACAGAGTTTGCTCTGCGAGGTAGGTGGTCTTCTGGCATGCAAAGTACGTCTCCGCCTGCGTAGCCTATGAAGCGTGGGTAATTCGTTCATCACGGGAGAATTCCTTTCCAAGACTTTCTGGCGTACCTTAGCATTGTTTATCTGAAGTTCCCACCAGACCCGACCAGTGCTTCGGAGAAACCGATAGTCAGACATTACCGTCTTCCGTGTGTCTTGTGTGTAGAGGCCACGCTTCTGGTCCATAAAGCAATATGGATCGCACCACCGCAGTGTAAACTCTTCCCTTGACAGACAAGCTTACGGCACCATTGGTGTCGGAGGTTGGCAAAAGCTAACCTGGCCTTCCAGATTCGAGAAGTAATCTCATCTCCAGCCAGACAACCGGAGCTTATGCAACTGCCCAGGTAAGCAAATTTATCTACCACGTCGATTGGATGACCTGCAAGCACGAGCTGTGGGTTAGATCCCACCCAGTCTTGTAGCAGCACTTTACACTTTACAGGTTTGAGAGGCATACCAAACCTTGGGGCAGAATCATTTAATTTACATAAAATCGTCTGCATTTGGAAAGGATATGAACCAAGAAGAGTGTTTGTGAGGGAACGTCCCGGGAGCATTTCGACTCTCCAGGTTTCAGAGGCAGGCAGAGAAATTTCAAGCAGCATGCCAATAACGAAGTTGAAGAGGAAAGATGAGAGAGGACAAACTTGTCTCTCCCCACTGGACGTAGTGAACTCAGGCGGAAGTTTTCCGTATACTCGTGCGCACGCACACGAGTTCGCATACACTACCCTCACAAGGGATATAAATTTGGAATGGACACCTTTGATCGCCAGACGGCCACAGTTTCTGACGCTCGACAAGATCAAAAGCAGCTTTCAAGTCAAGGAAGATGACCTGTGTGAGATGCCTGAAGACGCCGTTCAAGAGTTTATCAATCGGAGCGAAATCCAGCTTGATTCTCACGAATTTGTCCCTCCCGACAATTTATCAACCTGCGTAAAATAATGCCAGAGATTCTTAGACGCGACGGATACCAGACTGATACCACGTTGGTTTTCACATGACCTTCTTGTTTCCTTTTTGTAAACCCAGGTGACAGTCGAGGAGCTCCATTCGACCGGTATTCTATTTTCATCGGACTGTTCGATAGGACTCCGTCACCTTTGAAGAGCGTGGGATGCCGACTATCCGGGCCGGGTGCATTGTCGCGCTTCATGATTGACATCTCACGCTGGATTTCAGTTGCTTATGTTAGGTTGGTGTTAGTGTTCCATTCGGGTACGCTTGGTTCTTCCAGCGTTTGCGTTGAAAGAGAAGTGCTCAGCCAACCGCTCAAGATGGCGATTGAGGGAGTGAATTGCCCTTTGGTCTTTTTCGCATTTTGTTTCTGTTACGGTTCGATCACGCAGGGAGCAAACAATGAAATACGCAGACTGTGAGAATATTCTATCCCTAGCTATGTTGCTTGATCCAGACTCCTAGCACGGCGAATAGTAAGAAGGCGAAAAACCTCGGACACAAACTTTAATGATCCAACAACACGCGATCAACAGGTCAAATAAGTTGAGACAGGGCGCTGCTGTTGCCTGCAGGTTTCCCCATATGGGCCTTCGAAGTACACCAGCGTTCTCTCTCATTGTTCAAGCTCCTGATTATCCGGTGTTTGAGGGATCTGCGTGCGGCATCATGGTCGCTAGTTCCTGGTCTGACCTTTCTGGTTTCTTTAAGAGCTGCTTATCTCGAAGCTATTCATTGTTCTTTGAATTGAGTCAGAAGGGCTGGACAAACAGTTTTGAAAGCTGACAGCAATGATTCTTTAACTTGCCTCCATTCATCCTCCAAACAATCTTCGCCGTCCACATGACTGCGTTTCCAGTAGCTTTCTAGCCAGACACTCTTCAGCTACTGAAACTTGGCGAAGTTGAACGGGACTGCTCTCCTTTGGCTCACGTGATGCCGGCGGAAAGCGAAGTGCTAAACGAACCCGCACAATGTCGTGGTCAGAGTCAAGTTGTGTACCCCAGAAGGAACCACAATCCTTAACTGAGGCTCTCCATTAGTAACTGATAGCCATATGGTCCAATCGAGTCCACGATTGTCTTGTAGTAGGTGGCCTCCAAGTAACTCGATGTAAGCGTTTGTGTTGGGAGTTTGTACCAGCCAGGAGCAGACGATGATCTACACACACCTGAAGAAGCCGCTCCCCATTGTCTGCACACACAGCATTGACTCCAAATCTGCCACCTTACTGTGCTTTTTCTGGGCTTATTTGTCCAACTTGGGCACTCATATCACTCCGTATCACCAGGACTACTTTATCCGTCCTTCATGCTGACCGAAGGAGCCGTGACAGATCTTGATAAAACCCATCTGTCTCAGTCTGTTGGAGCGTATGCTGATAGAACTAATAAAAATCGTTTACTGCGTCGACCTGCATCGATCTTAATTGTGGCAGACAACCGCACAACGCACAGGCGACTGTTCACCGGGATTCAGTCCGGTGCAGGTTTTTTCGGGGACCCTGTCCCTCGTCTCTGACTCAAGAGTCTGAACCGCAAGGCAGTAGTTGTTAGGGTTTTCTTGGGGGACCCCTCCCGGAGCCAATGACGCAATAGTCCGACCCACTTAGCTGCAAAGGACCGGCCTTGTCCGGGGGCGCAGCGAGTAATTTATCACTTTCTCACTCCTAGTTCAGGCGCCTTTTGAGCAGTGCCAGACTCTTTGGTTTTAAAAGTATTTCGGCCGTATTGAATGATGCGTTGGCGGTCACGGTCAACCGTTCGACGGTCGGAGTGTGCAGTCTTTAGGACCGACCTTCTATACTCCGTCCCTCCTCAGGGGAAGGCAGCACCGCTACTTCCATAAATATGGTCATGTTGGTTGCCTGGGGGAAACGCCTTATCGTCTTCACACTCCTATCGCAGCGGACAGTACGACTTTACCCCTAGATGACCTCATACGATTACTCGCAGGCCGGGGGTTCGCTGTTCTTTGTCGGGTTGCTCCCGTTGGTCTTCCTGGCACGCTGGAAACTTTGCGAACTGAGTTCTAGCCTGTATAGCTCGCAGGGTAATTGCAGCACAAAAGCCTGACTGTTATGTTCGACCGTCACAACAAAGTGATTCAAACAATCTGGATAGAAACTTGATATTCAGGGATATGCTGCTTTGACGCCATAAACGCTTCACGTTAGTAGATGCGCCCTGTGCCTTAGACATTTGTGTATAAAATTCATCCGTCAACACAATCGGAGCTAATACAAGTTCCAAGATACGTAAAATGCCTCATAGCCCTGAATACCTCTCCTTTGATTGTTAGTGACATGCCAGTGAGCCTGACCTTCAAATTTGTGTGCAAAGTGTAGTTCGTCGGGCGGGATGACTTTCTTCTGTTAATCCAAAAACCTGCGCCTTTTCGAAAACGAGAACGAGATCGTCTGCATATTTCCGATCGGTAAGGTTTTCATCATCAGCTGTTTGAACTCCAGTATTCCGAAGATCTTTTAACGATCGTTTGACTATTTCTTCGGGGCGAGATAGCTCAGTGGTTAGATTCTGAAATTACTGACCGGAAGGTCCGTGTTCCGAAT